ATTATGGTGCGTCCCCCCCCCCCCCCCCCACACACACACTCCTTTTCTTTTACTGAAAATGATAACATTGCATCTGAAGAAATTAATACAAAGAATTAATTCGCAAACTAATATCCAGTAACTGTAGTCTAGAAAAAGATTTCATGGATGGGTGATTGTGACACTAAATGGAGAAAGGTAAAGGAACAAATAATGTTTCTCAGCCACATGTTTTTCTCCTTTTATTCATACACTCGTTGAAAGTGCAATCGAGGGAGAGCCATGAACTAGGAAGACTTAGGTCCTCATGAGAAACAAATCGGAGGCTTTAGGTAGCATCATAAAATAGCCATTTAGTACATTGACCTCGTGTATTTAAAGATTATGAGATTTTACAGTAGTTGGGTTATAAAATATCAATTTAGAGCAACAGCAAATTTCCTGATATTCATTTCAGTTTATAGGCAATTCCTGTTCTGACATAAATGTATAGGCCTGGCCGACAGGATCTCTGGCCCAACGTTGCATTTTCCTTTGAGGTTGAGATTTGAGAGAAGTCTCAATGGCTTTTACTCAGAAAATCAGTGGGCTAAAAGGTGCCTCCTTCGTCAAGCCATTTGTATTATAGAAAGCTTTAAAATGGTTCTATTATTTATTGAAGCGCTCACACTTTTTTTTTTCCTTCTTCTTTCAGTTTCTGGGCCAGCAAGGGACATGGAGAATATCAGGAATGTAGAGTTTACATTATTCTGCTTTGAAGCATGTATATAGCTTCAGAATCCTGTACATCACTAATTGTGATGACTAAAGCTGAAGTATCACTAAAAGAATACTGCCATTATGAGCCATTTGCTGTGTTAATATTCAGATGAAGAGTCTTTTTGGTTCACACTTCATTGCAAAATTAGGGCTTTTTTTTTTCTTTTTTCTTTTCTTTTTTTTCCCCCCTGCCTTTAAGATACACGCTTATTGAATGTATTTAAATTACTAGCTAATTTTTTCGGAGGAAAAAGCCCAGAGGCAAGTGTAAAACTAGTAGCTACAGAAAGCTGGAGAATCAGATGTCTGCTGGGCAAATTGACAGAACTCATTAATCTTCGATGCTGTGTGCTATAGAGTCTGTCCTTTCGTGCACCTGCGCAAGCCTAAAGTCATTACACGATGGCACTATTAATACTGAAGAGCTTGAGTGGGGAGAGGGTTATCTTCTCTTCTTAGTAATTGATTGCCAGCTGATTAGTGGACAACATTTTTCTTGCTGTATAATTGCCTTTGTGCTATCATAGCCTCTCTGACCTGGGTTGAGGCCATCTTACTGATTTCGAGGTCCTGACAATGGCACCGCAACCCTGAAAGTAATGAACTGGAACTCAATCTTTGCAAATTCCCCAAACAGAAGATGCCAGTTAAATGTGTTTCAATAATACCCTGAATAACGGCAATCATACTATAGATCAAAAAAAAAATTTTTTTTTCCTGCCAGGAAAACCAAAGAATTCTATTTAGAAAAAGTTTGCATTTAAGGAGAAATAAGCCGAAGTCACAATAACATATATTTTCATCTTTTACAGCTCTGATGTACTTATCACAAGCTAGTTTTGTGGGTTTTTTCTTTTTTTTTTTTTTTTTAAAGATCTTCATGGATAAATGCTAATGGTAAATAGATTCTTATTAATTCTTAGGCCAACAATATGGCTTTTGGTTCAAGACAGCTGAAAACATATGTAGGCCCAAGCAGAGAATTAGAAGATTTTAATGTCTTTTAAAATTGCATGATAGCCAAAAATATCAAATAATGGCTTCTTCTTTATCATAAAAACATTTGATTATGTGCCCTTTATACCTTAAGACACTGAGCTAAGAAGGAGAAAATGGAAAAGTATATGCTTTAAATCTTATGAGTTTAATAGTTCAGCAAATTGGAAGTGAATGAGTAGTGTAGGCTTTCTGTCTAAATGTCAGTCATGCCAAGAGGGCTTCCCCAAGGGTAACCTTCACATTTATGCAGATAGAAGTAAAAATATAACAATCCACTGACTAAGAGTATTAAGCAGCAATCTCTAAACTTTTAAAGGAGAAAATCCTACTTGTGGAAGAGAATTAGGTAGCCAATACAGAAGATCTATCTTCTTAGAGTACGAGGTCAAACTTTTCCTTATGCGAAAGCTGATATACATAGAAGACTGTTGTGAGGCCAGTAGTCTCCATCTTGAGCCAGATATCCTAATGCTTTCAGGAACGTACTCAGCAATATTTGCTCATATTTTTAATTGAGATCGCTGACCCAGAAAAGCAGCATTAATTAATTAGCTAGTAATTTAATGGCATTACTAAACTTGCCTTTCAAAACTCAGAGAGGTGTATTTTCACAAACTTTTCAACAAGAAAGCCGTGTGTTAGCACACACTATCCTAACTCAACAAGTATGGTATTGGCAACTAACAGCCGTCTTGTCTTCAACCATTGTCATTTGTTTCATTTTGAGGAATTTTGGGAGTATTATCAATCACAACAAAGCAAATAACAGCAATGTTGAAAATTTTAGTAAAGAGAGAAATAAGTTATGAAGCAAATAAGGTTGAGATAAAATATAGAAAGGGGTGAGACAATGAGAAGTGTTATAATGCATTGTGAATTAATCATTTGACAGCGAGAAAATTCTGTAATAGAGTGAATCAGTCATAAAGTGAAAAGTACAGCATGTATGTGTTCAACTATAATTAACAAGAGATAAAAAAATGTGATTGATGGAAAATCTTTTAAGTGTGTGGCTGAAGATCAAAGTAAATTCTGAGTGCACATTATCTTAATGTAAATTCAGTGGAAGGTTAAGAATTTGAGAACCTGAAAGCTAAGCATAGTGGAACACTGATGAAACTTTCATCAAGCCCCAGATGGAACTTACTCAATCTACACAACATCAAAGTGAGTGGTCAGCACATTGGAAGTGGGACTGTGACTGCTGAGGAGTTACCTATTACCCTTGCTGTGATTATTACAGGAAGGGTTATTTGCTTCAATGGATCTTCAACATAGATGAAATTGATCTACTCTAGAAAAAGATGCCTGAAAATATGACATAAGCAAGGCTTAAAGCTATCATGGGCCAACTCATACTCCTATTTGGCAAAAGGATCTGAAACTGCAGCTGAAACGCCTCATTCTTTTTGTACAGAAAATCTAATACCTTATCTGAATATTATTAAAATGTCTCTCAAATCAAGAGTCTAAATTATACTGAGTATTTTTGAAGATTGTTTTTTTGTACTGCATCACTCCTGAGATTAAAAAATACTGTAATCAGAATATGCTACCTTTAAAATATTTTTTGCCATGATAATTCCCATGGGCATTGACTTTTTTCCTTTCGTTATTTAATGATTATCATTGTAATAGCCAGGTTATTTGCTTCCATCTAAAATCCACTTTAATTCTATAACCAATGAACTAGAATTTTATTTATTTATGCTTTAAGAAAGATGATCTGATACTAAATGTTTAAAATGACTAAGTAAAAGCATTTTTCTACTTCTTTCAAAATCCACCAATAAAAACTGTAAGTATATAAACTAGAAATAGAAAACATTCCATATTTTTAAAAAAAGCAAAATATCAGCTACAACAAAAAATGAACATAAGTAAGCATGCCTGAGGAGGAGGAGTCAGAGAACCCATGAGTGCCATCTTATACCCAGAGCAGGACCTATTATTTCCCTAAAAGTGAATGTCTTTGTACTGAAATAATCTTTTCTAAGGATCTTTTTATTGGAGATGAGATCTAAGGATGTGAGTGTGCCAAGAAAGAAGTGGGAGATGGTACTGAAGGAGAGACATATCAACAAACCCTCTTACTCCCTGTTTTTTCAACCATCTGTTTTAAGAAAGTGGTGCTATAGATGAAGAAGGGTAGTTTATGGGGCATTAAAGGGGATGATTTTAAGTTTGAAGATCGAGTACAGTACAAACATTGACATTTTGATTGTGTAATGAGCATACCGACTCTAAAATCTTCACTATAGGCATCATTTCAACATATTTTCCTAAAATATTGTTGAAAGGTGCTAGTTTTTGAAAAATGTGCTCTTGGTCAGCAATAATTCCCTTTCCTTATTTGTTTGCTTACCACTTTCCCCTGGCAATATGGATTTGTTTAGTTAGTAAGATACACATTCCATAGAAATTGTTGACTGCTTTGACTTAACCCTCTTCATCGCTTCACATGACTTTTCCTTAATTAGTGAGCCCCGCTTGAAGGTAATAAAATCAAAGAACTAACATGGGACCTACAAACATATGCTATAAAATAAAAGGAAAAAACAACAATCAGAAGGCAAACAAGAAAATTATAAGAATTATAGGTGTAATAGGAAAAAGCAAACATTTCAGACATAAGGCAGTGCAGGCCACTTGCTCTCTGTTTAGAGACAAGTGTAGTAGTTTTTTCAAAGAAAAAAAATAATTTAATGAAAAGATATGAAAAGAGAGCTTATAGTGATCAAAAAATAAATGGAAAAGAAGGGGTCAGCAGGTGGCATAGTAGTTAAGGTGCTGGAATCCCACAGGGCCTATCATAGTTCGAATCCTGGACCTGGTGGCTTGAAACTCATGTGTGTGCATGCCCAAAATCCCAGGAGGAGAAGGAATGTGGTGTGGCTGTCCCCACCTGGTGTGGGGGGGATAATTTCTCACTTTTCCTCTCACTGTGTGTCTCTCTCTCCAGTGAGTGCATGCACCCTATGGGAAAAATCTTAAAAAAAAATAAAGAAATGGAAGAAAAAACAAAAATATTGCAGAGATGAAAGCCATGTAAAAAGGAAGAATATGAGTCAATATGACTGAAAATGCAATTCTAGTTACTAAACAAAGACTACAAAAGTGAAACAGAAAAAAATATATAAAAGGATACAAAAGTGAAAAATGAAGATTTTTTTTCTGCTGAGACGTACCCCTCCAGATTCATTTCTACTGGCCTTTATGCACTAAGTGTCTAGACAGGTCTAAGTGAACAGGATACAAACATCTGAATAAGATTAGGGTCAGAATATTCCTCTATTCCCACTGAATCTGTAGCACAAAGAGTGAAACCAGAACAGAAGAGAGATTGCAGGTCACCTCCTCCTGCACAGCTCTGAAAACTCAGATTGAGCTTCAAGATTTAGGAAGAAACACACCATCCATCAGATGACTAGAAATCACCCCAGGGTCACAAGAAAAATGAGAAAGCAAAAAATACCTCTCCTCCAATGGAAAAGAGTAACTTCTCTTCATCCTCAGACAGTACAATGAAACTCATGGCAATGTCAGATAAAGAATTTAGAATATTCATAGTGACAAAGCTAACAGAGATGGAAGAGAAGAGAGACAATGAACTGCAGAAGAGGCAGGAGAAAGGAACTGAAGAGTTCCAGAGGTGAGGAAATTCTTGCAAAATCTAAAAGTGGAAATACACACTATAAAAAGAATTAAATGGACCTGTTAGAGATGAAGGCTATAACCTTTATCCTTTTGCAGGAAGGCAAAACCTCCCTTGAAAGTATTAAGAGCAGACTAGATTATACAGAAAATTGAATCTCAGATGTACAAGATAGAATCACTGGCTTAGAAAAATCCACCATGAAGACTGAGAAAATTCTCCCCAAAATGAGAATAATATACAAGAAATACTAGATGCAATCAAATGTCCAAACATCCAGATAATTGGTATCCCAGAAGATAAAGAGACTCACAAG